ATATAGTGCTGAGAGCTCTTTCTTTATTCAGCTGTCTTACTGCTCTGTCCACCTTGAAATACAGAAGAAACCTCAAGGTCATTCGTCTGAGAAACAAAACTATCATGATCTTGTTTGGTGAATAGCCTCTGCACATGGCAGAGGCTTGGCGTTGGGAAGGAATGTGAGGAGCAGAAGTCTCTGAAGCAGTCCTGACCCTGCCTTAGCCCCACAGTGCAAAAGGCAGCAGTATGGTTAGTGATGGCAAATATTTGTGCAGGGCCTGGCTGTCAAAGGGAGCATTTGATACACAAGGTTGTTTCCCAAGATCCAGCCTGGACTATTGAGGCTGCAGGGATTTCAGCTTGGAAGGTACAGATGAAATCTAGCACCATATTATAGTACCAATGTAGACAGCCTCCTTCTCTGTGTGTACAAGGAAGGGGAAAGTGCAACTAGCTTTCTGTGATGCTGGGAATGGTCTGCTCCAAAATGAAGTCAATCAGCATGGTAGAAATGCAGGAGTGATAACAGCCTGGTTGACCCTCTTACTGCCCAGGCAAAACTTCCTCCTCATTTCACCAGTGCTGAGTGAGTGAGGATGGATGCAGAGGAGGCTCATAGTCTTCGTGATGATTATAATTTTAAATAAAATTATATAATACTTTTTAGCTGGAGTTTCTCTTGTCTCTACATACGAGATCTCATTTATGTGATGAGAGCCATAGTTCTGTAGCAAGGAGGGGTTCTTGCATTAGAACTGCCTGTTTTTAAAACCTTTGGAAAGGTGTGGAGGGGAAAACATGTTTGAAGTAAATAAATCACCTTTTTTTCCTTCACTTCCTGATTTTTTTTCCACTCTTTTAAAAATACTTTGCTTGAGGCAAATGCTAAATGCTGACTTTCAAAGGGGAAGATGGGACTACTAACGCTGGCTCAGAAGTGAATTCATTATATCTGTTGTGTGAAAATGTATATATTGTCTATCAAGATAAGAGAATCTAGAGGCAAAACATGGATTAAAAGTTTAAGGTAGGTTAATTAGAGAAGGCCTGGAAAACCACAAACATCAGTTCATAGGTGTTACATTTTTATCCCTGTCCCTTTTGATGCTCCTGCTAGACAGTACATCGTGCCAGGGAAAATGGGTTTCTCCGATACACTAATTAGGGTTCCTTCCACTCTGTAGCACTAAGTTGGAGAACGAGTGACTGCAGACGAGAGAAGCCCTGTTTGCAGTTAAGTGGTAATCCTTTCTCTACTTTCGCAAGCTTCCTTGTAATTGCACTTAGATTCTGCTGAACTTTGTTGCTCTGAAATCTCTGAGCTCATTTACAAGTGCTGAGAAGGATCTGGGGGGACCATCAGTTGGCAGCTTCTTGCGCAGGTTCGGCCAACAGGCAAATCCCACCTGTTTTATTGCTGTGTTTGTAAGGAATAGCTTTTGTGTCAGAAAGAGGCCCATCAACCAAAGCTTTATGCTGCTGGCAGCTGCTGCTGCTGTATCCCTGAGACCTGAGAGGGGGAGAGTGGAAGTGCATCCTAAGACTGAATCTGGCCCCTCCACTGGAAGTGCAGGATCTGCTCACAAGAGGCCCTGTGTTACTGTGGTGATGGCAGCAGGGTAAATAACTGGGTGGACTGGAACCTCAATCACCATCTGTCCAACTTCTCAATCACCCTGTTAGTTTCTTGGACTTTATAATAAAGATTTTGGTGGGTTTAGGGTGTGTGATGCTCCTGATTGGTCTGGGTATGTGCAAATGCAGGAGAAGCAGAGGTTATTCGCTGCAAGTGAATTGTTGATATATTGACATGAAATTTAAAGTACACAGGGTTCTTCTTAATGAGCTGCTCTGTAAATGCTGCTTCTGACTTTCTGATGTTCCTCTCTGAGGCACCCTATTTGAACGTAGCCTGAGAAGCAGCTTTGCCTGTGTAGAGTACAGAGAGAAAGGTGAGACGGATGAAAGTAATGGGATCACACCTGTGATACCATACTTAGGCTATAGGTGGTCCTGCCTTGATGCAGCTGGATGCTGCCCCAGATATTATCAGACCAAAAAGAGCTCAAGGCGCTTGAATATGGGCTTTCATAGGAACAGGTCAAAGGAGCTCTAACCAGCTGTTCCAGGCAGCAAAGACAGAGTGCTAAACACAACAGAGAAGTCATGTATAGTAGTAATATAGCATATACGAGTTTTCATGTGGGTAAGTGCTTAGATTTAAAAGAATATTGAGGCTTGAGAATCTTGCCTCCCTCCTAGTAATCCTATTTCTTACTGGTATTATAAGATAATGGAATTGGCAGCAAAGCTGAGTAAGTGTTGTAGATGGTATATAGTCAGCTTAGCTTTGTGGAGAGAGGGAAACCAAATGAGGAATCTGACTACTGGATCACAGCAGAGGGAAAGGACCTTCTCTCCCCTCTCAGGCTTTTCCCTGTCAAAGCATTAATCACAAATGCTCTTTTTTTCCTTCCGTTGTCCTTCTCTGGGATAGATGAGGAAACTTTTTCTTACTGAGAGTGGTCAGTCACCATAACAGGTCTCCCAGAGAGGCTGTGGAGTCTCCATCCATGGTCAGCTGGCTCTAGGTGATCATGCTTGTGCCAAATTCTGGTCTTCCCAGTACAAGACAAGCATGGACTTGCTGGAGTGATTCCACTGCAGAGCCACAAAGCCGATGAAGGCACTGGAGCACCTCCCCTATAAGGAGAGACTGAGAGGATTGGGAATGAATTGTACTCATTTAATGTACTTATACTCCTATACAATTAAGTAAACCTGACTATCTGCCACGTATGCATAACCCATGTTATGGGTTATGTTCTATATTCGTGAAGTCAGTGAAGAAGAGAATTTCCCAATGTCTCTCTTGTATTCATATGTAGTTGAGGATGTATAACCCAGTAGTGCTATTTGCTGTGAGCTCCCTGTTGCATTGAGCTGATGTGCTGAGCCTTGGAGGGTTCACAGACTGGTGTTTAACCAGAGGCAGTGAGAATGACTTCACCTGTAGAGGTGGGTGTGCTTTGACTGTTTCATGGGCAAAAAGCTACTGGGTGCTGAAATGTGTCTTTTCTGCAAAGATAGTTGATTTTCCTGTGGATGGAGAATGGCTCCTTGCAGAACTCTGACTTGACCGTCGTTTCTTCATGCTCCTTAGATTTGTTTTCTTGTTCAGTTTAAATGTTGCTTCGTTTGCGTCCCTGTTCACAATGACTACAGCAAACACTGACAAACAAACAGCAGCTTGTTCAGCCCAGTCCTGTGTTTCCCAGTTACACCAGCGTGTGCTGGCACGGCTCCCCCAGCTGAGCAGGGCTGGGGGAAGACTAAGACACAGAGACTAAGGAAGCCACAAATATCCCTTCAATGTTGTCTGTTTGTGGTGCCTTCTTGTGTTGATACCTTTAGGTGTTCCTTGTGCATTTTGCTTTGTGATGGTGTTTTTCTTAACTTCATTTTAGCACCCTATGGCGAAATTTACTTGGAAACAAAATCGCGTGTGTGGTTTTTGTAACCAGAAGAAAAAACTGGAAGGCCTGCCAAAGGAGTATTGCAAAGGTTTAGAAGCCAGAAGACAATGGAAAAAGATTCCAGTGTCTGCCCTTCTGTCTCAAAGGGGGTTTTAATGGAATTATTTATTATTTTATTTTTTGTTGAATCCTTTTTAATTTTTAGGAAATGGTGGCTGTAGTCTCTGTATCGTGATGATAATGGCAGAAAATTTGATAATGATTATGGCTTTGAAGGAGGTGTTTTGTTCTAGTAGGCTAAACTCCCATGTGAGCTTAGAATTGTTAAAAATAAATAGGACATTTTCTTTTTGACTTGAGATTGCAAATGTAAGCCCTTTCTCTGAAATTGGTGTCCTCGGTGTAAGAATAAGCTGCCATCTCAGGTAGCTCCCCTCCTGGTACCTTGCTAACTTTGTATGTTTTTTCAGAAGGTGAAAAAACTTCTACCCCTTCTACCTTTATTGTTCTTGGAGGGTATAAAGTCAAAATATCTGTGAAAAGTCTTTCACTAATCTGGTGGGAATCTGTTCTAATCTTTCAAGATGTGTTGGGTTTAAAATGTGCGTATCTTACCTACTTAATATGCTTTCATTATTTAAAGGCATCTAATCAAGATGTACTGTCTCTTACAATGAGTTATGCATTCTCATACTGTTTTCTTCATCAGTGTCTGCATTCTGGAGGGAGAGCTGAAGGGATGTTCTTTTCAAATGGAAATGGTGACATTTCTATTTGGTGCAGAGAAACTGCTTTCTGGCTTCTCAAAAGGTGAACTGAGGGTGTTATACCCCACAGCTGTCCTACCTCTGCTGCCATGTGGTGGCCAGGTAATGTAAGGAAAAATTTCAGTTGCTGGTGCAGTGGACTGCATTAAAACCCTTGCTCACAAGGCAAAGCAGCCTTCCTTGTCCACTTGAGGGCACTCAACAGTGTGTTCCTGTTTTGATAGGTGGAGTATATATAGGTTATGGCTATCTGGGTATCATTTACATCAGATCCAGGTGCTATCCTGCTTTTTTGTCCTTGGCTATTGATGTAATCTCCATCATATTTGTGACTTTCCCAGTAAGTTGATAGAGGAGGGTACATAAGAGTCCAAGCAAGAAAATTCTCAGTTGTAGTTTTGGGTCTACGTTTTGTGTGTGTGTGATTGATTTTATAGCACAAGTTATTCAGGTTGCTCCTAGCAGAAGCTACTGAACTCTCTTCTTATTATGCCTTGTGTATTGGTCCACTGTATATTATCTGACAGTCACTTCTGACCTGGGTGCAGGGCTGTGGTTCTGGGTTACAGTATCAGCAAAGAGGCACTTCTGTAAATGACCTCTGGATCTGAATAACCAGTCTATTGACAAACACTGTTGATCCCCCTGTGGATGTTGTCAGCATCTAGGTTAGACTGAGGAAGGGGGACAGGCTCCTCCCACTTAGATTTGGAGCTGTCTTATTCTTTACCTTCAGCTAATACTTACCTGTGCTCTCCTTTCTCTTCCCTCAGGTGGATGCAGTGCGGGTGTATGTGAACAGCAGCTCCGAGAACCTCCGATATCCTGTGCTGTTTGTAGTTCGCCAACAGAAGGGAGTACTGTCGTGGCAGGTCCCATTAATTTTTCGAGGCCTGTAAGTACTGAAGTCTCTTCTTTGTAACACGCTTGCCTGCCAGCTTATCCACCATCAGCTTTCCTCAATTGCTAGGTCTTGTAACCTGTGTAGACTGCAGAACTTGGTAGCAAAGCGTGCTTGATCACTGTCAACAGAAGACCAAGATTTGGTTGGTAACCTCTTACTTGGCAGCCTGCTCTTGTCTCTTAGTTTCTCAAATATGTACACAGAGTACCAAGAGGCTTGTCTCCTGGGAATCTGCCTGTGAATCTACCACATGTCACTGTTGTCATTCCACAGTTGCTTACCATGTGTGCGGGTAGTTCTTGGGCTCTATTTTGGAGCAGGGTTTGAACAAGCTCTTGAAAGAGCACTCTCAATTGTTGTGTTACAATGCATTTAGGAAATAAGGGCTCTCCTCTGTTTTCCACCCCAGGTAAACCCAAGTGTTAAGTCTATTCTGGGGTGGTTGTTTGGGAGGCGTTTTCTTTGCAAAAGGGACGCCGCTTTATACCTTCAACCTCAGAGCTCTTTGGGCTGCAGATACGGAAACTTTGCAGGCTCCTTAGACCATCTGAGATTTGGGGTTTTGTCCTGTGACTGAGTCCTGGTGCTGGGCAGCAGATACCCTGCAGTGTTTTGCCTGACAGAGGGGATGGTTACAGCAGCGACTGCTCTGGGCTGTCATTGCTCTTTGCCTCCAGTAAATGGCAGATATTAAAGATCTACAGATGGCATGGGCATCCTCGAGGGAAGTGAAACGTTGGGGATGACCAGTCCCTCGTGTGGACCCCAAGAGACAAGTGGAGTTTGAGCTTTGAATAAAATACTGAATACCCTTGGCCTTTCAGATTACAATTGCAGTTATGCGAGCAGGGGAAAAATGATGTCATTCTTAGCACTGCTGAACAACTTTTTAACTGCTCTCTCTCGCTCGCTTTGCCATCCAACTTTCCCTTCCCTCCTTCCCTTGGCTGTTGTAGCTATCAGAGGACCTACAACTACCAAGAAGTGAGTCGCACCCTCTGTCCGTCGGAGCCGACACCTGAAACAAGACCCTCTGACCAGATTATATTTGTGGATGTTGCTTCCATGGCACCATTTAACATTGCCTATGAGCTGCTAGTCACCAGGCTCGAGAACTTCCAACTTGAGTAAGTTGGGATGTGAGAATACAAATGTAATTTCTTCATGGATCTCTTATACAGGGATTTGGTCCATCTGCCTACTCTTCCCTTCTTTTTCCTTCCCAGAAAAAAAAAATTATTTTTTCTTTTGTTTAATCTGAGGGTACTTTGTGTATATTCCAGCTCTGAAAGTTTTAGACTTCAACATACTGGCATTTGTTTTCTAGGACCAACAGAGCCTTTAACTTCACTGCCAGCCCTTCCCAGCCCCAGGTAAGGAGAAGTCCCGTGTAGCATTGTTGCCTGTATATCTTACCACATCCAAGTGATTGATGTGATCTTTTCTGTAGAGATAGAAAAGATCTTATGTGACTAGGTTGTTTCCCTCTTAGGATGCAGGGAACCTTCCTTACTGTTGAATTTTCTGTGGATATAGTGAAGAGGTAACTGTTTCAACCGCTCTAGGGACACATTGGGGTCCTCTTGCAAAGCAGTTCAGTGAGCCAAAACCCATGAGCAGAGCAAATGAATGGTATTGGCTCTCCAGGAAATGTCAGAAATGTACAAAAGTCCAGAGGCCATTGGTCTGCTGCACTTCATGGGAAGTGAGGTGGTGCACACCAGTTTCTTGTTCCAGGCAGTGCTGGTTCAGTTGCCTGACTGTGACTTGTCAAGATGCAATCTTTACTGGAAAAAAAACCAAACCAGAAATAAAGAAGCTGTAAAGGTGCAGCAGAACTCACACTGCTATTCCTTGCTCAGGGCAGCAAGTCAAGGTGTGAGGTGATAAATGAAATGCCTGATATGTCTGTAAGTTCAGAAGGAAGCACGTATGTGCGGCACCTCCAGCTGGACAGCCTTGTTTAGAGCCCTGCAGATACAAATCCTCTCTTGAATGAAAATGCTGTTAGCAGTAGCTATAGAGATAAAGGAACTTGTAGAGCTGGAAAGGTATGTAATTTACCCAAGCTGCCTGTTACTCTGTTTTTGTTGTTGCTTTCACTGTTAGTAATACCACTTAATTTTAGGTTTCCTATTACCAAGCATCCCAGCTAATCTTTTTTGTTGTGAAATGTCTGAAGCTGGTTTGCAGATACACGCAGTATTTTATACTATAGAAGTGTAGAGAATGGTGGTGACTCTTTAGAAAAAAAAACCCTCATTACTTAGGATTTTATCTTTTGAATGTAGACTGTTTAAGGTCTGGCCTGGAATTAACTTTGTGACTCTGGTCTGGTTTTTTTGTCACAATTAGTAATAAGAGATTTGTGACTTTTAATTAAAAACCAGCTATATGGAGTAGAAGATGAGTGCTTCTTAATTGGTATAATGCTGAGATTTTTGTAAATCAAAGTATTAAGTAATCTACAGGAGGAAGGAAAAAAAAAGTTGATTCAGGATATAGATGGCTGTTGGAAAAAGACAAGCGTAACAATTGAAGGAGGTGTTTTGTGGAACACAGCTCACGCCTGAGGGCAGAAGCAGAAATTGGATATGCTTGTATAGGTCATAAGTGTTGCTGGATATGTTTATAACACTCACAGTCTTTACAGCAGAGAACTCTAGGCCTCAGTTCCCCTTGTATTAATTCTGTGCTTTGGTGTAAGTGTGGCTTAGAGAAAACTATAGAAGAATCCTCATGGGTGACTTCCTCAAGGACCTGAACCTTTCCAAGGGCAGTGTACCTGGGAAACCCAGGAGCTCAGGCTGCCAGTATCCTTGCCTGGTGGAAATAAACCATGCTCAACTAAAGAAACCGGCTTGGTGAGTTTTCAGTAAGGACTTGCAGTTGGAGCCAGCGCTCCCTCAGCAGCGAAGGCAACCTGCTTGGAGAGGGTGATGGGAATAATATGCTTTAGTAGAAATGGGCTAACTGGAAAAAAACTTGGGTGAGTTCTTGCTTTTCCATGCCCTTCCAGTAGGGGGCCTTAATTCCTTGGGAATGGCATGTGGGAAGGGAAAAGGGACATAGCTGGCCCTTGCTCACCGCTAAGGTTTTATGAGACATAAAGGGAGCTCTTCAGTTTGGAAGGTCTTAGGACTTGGGAGCAGGAGCTGTGGTAGCTTCCAGTGTGGCGGCAGTGGCTGCCTGGTGACCATATGGAAGGAAGGAAGGTGGCTGGTGGCAGTCCTCAGCCTTGTGTACCCTCTGAGGTGAGGTGAGGTGTCCATCAGCCCCTCTTGGTAGCTGTAACAGCTCTCAGAGTCTGGGCTTCAAGCAGGATGGTGGGACCCCTTGCAACAAGCCTGCCTGCTGAGGCAGGCACAGAAACCCTACTTCTCCAGCAACTGGCTGGGGCAGTACATCAGACTTTTTACTGGAAAAATATACAAATAATGGTATTCCCTGGAACATCTTTTGCCCAAATCTGAAAAAGCCCTTACCAGGACAAAGAGGGCACTTTCTGCCCCCACAAACTGTCCTGTGGGCCTGGTCAAAGCATGGAAGCACAAGCACACCATTCCTTGCCTCCAGAGGAAAAGTAAGAATATTGGCAGATGTTAGTGTCTCCCAATGTTTTTCAGAGCTACAGATGAGTTATTTGAAAAGCTGAAGTGAGAAGAGAAAACCCCCATTACCGTTTGCATTGGAAACGAAAAAATGCTAAATCCTACAACTAGTATCAATCGTTTATTACTGAAACTCTTGACAGAGTTTCAGCCATTTGACCTAATACTTTTCACAGTCTGTCTTTGAGGCAACACATTTGAGGTAAACTCCATGATGTGTTCCATATATAAAGTACGGCCAGCAGTATGGAAACAGCTGGAAATCGCTCATATCAACATAAAATGGAATGGGGTGTAAAATGAAGTCACTTTAGCTTCATCAGGTGGAAAAAAGCTTAAAGGAGCAAAAGCTATGCTGTATCTTGCATGTTGAAGATGTTTATGTCTGATAGCATGATGTGCAAGGGGGAGAGTTGTGTTTAATCTGCTCTTCTGTAGTTTAAGGTCCTAATGTTTGAAATCTGAATTTTTGTGAAGGCCATCCACATTCAACTGCAAAGCCCAGCTAGGCCTGCACAGGCAGTTTAGGAAGGTGCTGAAGCTACTGCCAGGGGTGATTTCTGGATCATAACTCTCCGCTCTCTGCTTTCTCCTCAGTATTTTCTGTACAAATTTCCTCAGGATGTCGATTCAGTCATTATTAATGTGGTGTCTGATGCAGCGTACCCATGCTCGGTTGTCTCCGTCCAGGATATTGTGGTAAGTCTGAGCAGAGAAGGGTAAGGAGCTGCCTGAAGGAGTTCTGTATCCTGTTGTGAGGGGTCTGTGCCCTGCAGAGAGAAAAGCCCTATGAAAGACTTCACCCTAGTGGTGGTGGTGGTGAAGAGAGCCCCTGAAAGAGGAACGAAAATTCTGTGGGAAAGAGGCAGAGATGCTGAGTTCGAGCAGCTCGTATGGAGATTTTTGTTGCAAATAGGTGAACAAGCTGTTCCTTTCCAGCCTGTCCATAGGGCATTTGTTGTGTTCCCCTTGAGATTTTCCCTGCTGCCTTGTGATGTAAGTCTGTCTCTCCATGGAGTGGCATTGGTGGCTAAGAGAGGAAACAGTGCTGTTCCCTTGAGTTTCCCGTCTCAAGGCAGCTTGATTTTCAGCAATAAGGTCTCTCCTTTCCAATTCAGTTTTCTCTCTATGTAGTTACTCATCCATTTTCCTGGGAAGGGGAGAATGGCTGTTGCTTGCAGCTGGGAAATAGCATGATATTTATCCTCCTTTCCCACGTCCCTGAATGATGCAGGGACCTGCAGTGCAAGAGCAGCAAAATGGCGACAGAGGTACAGGATGCCTTGGGTGCTGGCTCTGAAGCCCTGGGAGTTGCCTTTAATACCTGGGGTGAAGAAAGAAGTGGATGACATCAACTCTTGCCCACATCCCAATGTTTGAATGCTGGAAGGGCAGGAGGGGAGACTGTGATAGATGATTCAATCTTTCAGGTATTGAAAGTAGTGGGAAAGTAAAATGAGGGCAAGCACTTGACATATAGTACACACTGTGAAGTGTGTGACACAACCAGTGTACAGCTGAGTGTTTGCACTATCCTGTGGGAATGGTGGAGTGATCAATCTGGCTGAATCCTCGTTTGGCATTAAATTGCAGTCCTCTTGTGAGAACACCAAGATCAGTGAGTGCAGGCCACAACTAATGTCTTCAGAGCAGTCTAACTTCTTAATGGATTCTAGTTGTTTTGTTCCCTTTTGATACCTTGGCTGAGGCCTTCTTCTGCTGTTCTGCCCTTTATTCTCCAGCTGGCTTCCTTTGAAATTAGTTCAGATGCTGTCCCTGGTTTAACCCTTAGTTGTGTCCGTTTTAGTGCCCAGTGTATGACCTGGACCATAATGTGGAGTTCAACGGTGTTTACCAGTCTATGACTAAGCAAGCAGCCATAACAGTGCAGGTGAGATGCTGATTTTTGTCCCAGTGTTTTTTGTAGGGTTTTTTTTCAGTGGCTTTTTCTATGCATTCCTAGTTTTCTTTTGATGATCCTCCTATGGGTACCAGCCTTTGCTTTTATCAGGTCAGCTGATGTAAGTGGAAGAAGTGACATTACTTATTACTACAGAAAACTTGCTTACATTTGCTTAGGCAAATATTTTGGGTGCTGAGGCTCTAGATCAGAGTAGCTGAAGCCAGGTGTCTTCTGTTTGAACCTTGGCTCTTCTACCACTGAGTGGTGGTAGTAGGGCCTCTATAATAAGCAAAGCTGAGGTAGGTGGTTTTCACTAAATAAATAAATAAATAAATGCATCAGTATTGGTTTGCTTGTACTGGGGTACTGCTGTACTGCATACTGGTGAACCCAGCTTATTGTCAGCAAGGATGAGGAGAGCATCCCCAGAAGCCAGGCTCTGTCCAGAGTAGGTGGGTCTCTGTAAGGCTGGTGCCTGTATAGCAACTAAAACCTGACCTCTGGCCTTTTGGAGCACCACCCGTGCTTTGCATTAGAGGGAGAGGCTTCATGTCTTGTGGATTCTGTCTTGTTCCATCCTCTTGTGCAGAGAAAGGACTTCCCAGGTGAGCAGTTCTTCGTTGTGTTTGTCATCAAGCCGGAGGATTATGCCTGTGGGGGTTCTGTGCCTTCTTCAATTCATGGTAAGTTGTTCTGGGAGGTGGATTTAGTGCTGCATCTGTGTGATGAAGTGGGTGTCCTTTGGGACCTTCCTGTGGGATGACATGGGATGGTCATATAGCTCTGTCTTATCCAGGTAGCTGTGATTTCCCCCCCCGCCCCTCCCCACCCCAATTTCCCCATGAGGGTGTCTTTCTCTTATCCTAAAGCTGTCAGCAGAGCTGTACTGGCCAAGTTTGCTAAGCCCTGGTGAAACATAGAGAGTTTCTAGCATGGCATCCTGCACGGAAGTGTTTTGTGTTTTACTCATAGAGATTTGTCTAAAGGCAAAAATGGTGTCCCAGTATCTGTAATGAGAGCATCTGTCCTTTGGGGACTAAACGAATAGAAGAGATGCCTTTGCGATTCAGGCACCCAGATTTCAGCAATGTATGGAAGGCTGAAGCAGGGATTTCTAGTCTGAAAAATAGGTTGTGGATAGGGAGGAGGGGGGAAACATTTGGAAAAGTCTGTGTACTGACAAGTCTAGGAGCAGTTTAAAGCAAAACCACACAAAGACTGCAGTGAAAAGCCAGATCCTGTTGTTTTTGCAAGTTCAGAGAATAAAGATCAGGGCAAGAGGACATTAATGTTTGATTGTTTTTATAATTGCTGTACACTTTGCCTCTCACAGGGAATGCCAACCGTACCTGGAACCTGCAGCGGACAAAGAGCCTTCAAGTGACGATTGTGCCCTCTATTAAAAGTCAGTGTCTTTGGGCAGAGCAATGCAACTTTACAGGGGAACTTGGCACTTCTGAATAGAAGGGTATGACTGGGCCAGCAGCCTCTGATGGAATGGTGCTGAAAGCACCAGCAGTTGGAGCCCTGGTCCTTTCCAGGAGGTGCTGTGTGGCACAGGGTGATCTCATGGGCACACCAGCTAGCACTGGGGGTGGAGAAATGGAGGGAGATCTTGCAACAGGTTCTGGTAACTTCTTTTGAACAAAGGAGATGGGTTTTGAAGGGCTGTTTGGGACTGGGCATTGTCACCAGGTGGTATTGGGAAGAGCAGGACATGAGTGCTGCCCCTGGGAGGTGCTGTCCCGGCTGTGACTGATGTCTTCTCTTTCCTCAGAGTCCGTTTATGTCCAGGCCATGTTCTTCAGCTTCCTGGGTTTCCTCTCCTTTTACCTGGGCTCAGTGGTTGTTGCTTTTGTGCACTACATTAGGTGAGTTGAGGAGTTATACAAGAATAGCCTCTCTGTTTCTCATCATCCTCAGGGATACCTCACCCTGCAGTACATTTGGGGTGACAAGCATCCGAACAGAGCAGCTAAAGAATTCCATGACTGCCCAGTGGGCTCCTACTGACCATCAGCCAGAAAATTTTTCTTCCTCTGCTCTGGGGACCATGGCAATGGTGAAAACCCAAGGGTCTGCCCTTCAGATCTTGTACTTCCTCAACCCTAGGTTTCCTTATATGAGGACACTGGGGCACAGGTGGGAATTGTGATGCGGCCAGTCTGGGATATGGAATGGCAGAGCATTGAGGAACTAAGGTACTTTCTTGCTGGACTGATTACTGCAATAAGTGGCAGTGACACATATGGGGCCTTGGAGTCCCAAGAGTGCTGTTTTCCTTCCTTACCTGCCTAACCTGCCCCAGACTTTGGTGTCTGGGCTTGTGTTGAGAAGAGTATCTGCATGAGGTGGTGGAGATGGTGGAGTTTGTTGGGATCACTCACTGCTGCCTGCGTAAACAGTGAAAATCATTGAGAAAATCCTTTGTCCAGACATTTGGAGGCTTGAGAAGAGGGAGGCCCCTTCAGTACTCCTCCCTGCCCCTCTGGACAAAGGTTGGCATGGGAAGAAACATATAAAGCTCTCATCAAGTAGCAGGTTGGTTTTGTGGGAACAGTGCTTGTCAGCCACCTCTTCAGACCCCAATGTGAGAAAGAGTTCTCAGCCCCTCCAGAACAGGGAATCATTAAGACTCAGTGCTCTGAAACAAATGAATTTCAAGATGGGGACATGGCTTAACTTCAAGACACATTAATCAAACATTTCATTGGAACAATTCAATGAAATTACTTAAGTGTGTGCAAGTGTGCAATCTTCTTTGCTGTTATTTTTTCTTTGTTGTGGGAATATGTCGTCGTTTTTTTCACCATCTCCTGCTTGACATCTGCATTGAAGGAGGTGATATGGGCTTCTTAAGCATTGTGCTGATGAGCACCTCTAGCTCCTGCTGCCCTTTCAGTAGATTCTTATGTGCTTGGTTTTCTAAGTGGTGAAGCTGGGTTTGGGAAGGTGGTGTGAGGGTCTCTCCCAACATGGTGAGCAGTGTAGGATGGGATAGTCATGTAACCGGTTGTCCCACCTCTGCTGGGTAGGTGAGGGCATAGAAAAGCCCTCTGTTGCTTTGGGAGTCAGAGAGGTGGACAGCAGGCAGTCATGGCTAAGCTGTGTTTCATCCAAACAGTATTTTTCTTTTTTTTTGTTGTTGTGTGTGTTTGTTTCTTTTGTGCTTATTTTTGTTGGGTTTATTTGTTTTTTAGAGCTTGCACCATGTTTACCTATTAGTGTCCTAGATAATCCTGCCATGGCTGGCAGGTGATGGGGTTTGTTGGGTCTCTCATGAGTGCTGTCTGTTCCTTTTCAGGGTTCAAAGGAAGGCTTCTGCTGGGAGATTGAGTCCCGAGCATGGTAAGGTTTCTTTTCTGTTTTGTGACAACTTTAAGCAACTTCAAGTGAACAGCAGAGGTCCTAGGCTAGGCAAGGGACAAGCTGTCAGTCAAGTACCTTCAGTCTCTTCGAGCCATCTTTCATGTACATGTACCACAGTCTCTGGTGCTGATGAAAGATGTTAGAGCTTCCTCACTGCCATCATAAGAGAGGGCATTTGAAGCCAGCTCACCTGAACTTGGTCCTGACCCCTACTCTGAGGAACTGGGTTTTAAAGGGGTGGAGGAAGGTCAAACCTTGCTGAGACCTAGTTACAGGCTAATGTTCCTGATGTCAGATCTGTTGATTTTTAAAGCAAGGCACTTCGGGTATATCTTATGCTTTAAGAGCTCCTCTGCATGAGGTATTTTAATACTCTCCTTAAGCATGAGGTATTTTAATTTTTTTAACTGGAAGTTGCAGACAACCAGGTGAATGAATGACTAATAGTTAGGTAGTGGCGTTTGTGATATTTACTTTGGCATTGGATTCAATTTACTTTATGCTGCACCCACATCTCAACATATTGCAGCTTCCTGCCTTACAAAAACATAGCTGCATCTGAGAAGCTACCAGTGAGAGATGGAAATTTTTGTCATGTGGATGGGGAGTACTGGGAGTTTCTGCTTTCTGGTGGTGTGGGAGTCTGGCCTTTTCATTTTGATTAAATATTTAGTGCCTGCAAAGTATTTCAAAGCATTGGTGATGAGGTCATTTGTACCTCTCTCCTAGAGGAAGGGAGGACATTGTTTTGGCACTATTAAGGTTCTTGATGTGTTCCCTTTTTTCATGCCCAGCTTTTTCAGTCTCTCTGGTCTGCTACATATCATCAGATAAGCATACTAGTATAATTGAGCTGTGCTTAAAGGATCAGCAGTGGAACTTCACTCTGACCTGGCATTACTTGGATTAATATTTCTGCCGAGGACCTGGGGGCATTTGGATTCTCAGGAGTGGCTTCTTGCTTCTTCAGCCACTAAGATCTACATATGCATCCCTGTGCTTGGAATATGTGTGAAAAATTTTTTTCACCACACGAACAGGAGACTGTAAAAATGTCCTTAAATATATTCTTATTTTAAATAATTTGGAATGGATCCTTTTGTAAAACAAGAGCAAGTCTTAGGGCACTGGAGAAATGGGAAGGGCCTGTGTGTTGGGGAGTTGGGGGAAGCTGAAGAGACCTGGCTGAGGCTGTGGAAGAGCTCCAGGGTGGTGACAAAGGATCACTGGCTAAGGCAAGGAAGCACAGTCTCAGCCAGGTGAGACCAGAAGTCCCAGGGAGTGCTACTGGTGCTGCAGCTGAGGTTTAATAGGCTGCAGGCAGCCTAGAAGCTGCTTTCTAAGATGCCCTGGTGAGAGGTGGAAGTTAAATTCTGGTGCTTGGGAAGTTCCCAAAGAAGTTGCAGGGCACAGATGCTATTCTTAGTATGGACCTGGAAGGCAGAGAACTGGGTTGGTGAGTGGGGAGGATTGCTGAACAGCATCTCTGTGAAGGGAAAGAGGAGCACAGTTCCTGCACAGTTTTCCTCCCAGAGGCACCTGCTGCTTCTGTGAGCTGTCCTTTCCCTCGTAATCCATGCCACCCCCATGTGTCTGGCACTGCATGTTACTGCTGTGTCCTTTCCTCTGGGGAGGAACCACGTTCTACCCATATACTGTTTCTTTCTCTATTGTGTTTATTCAGGGTGTGTCTGACTGATGCCCATAAAATGGTAATTAGCATCTTCCCTGTCTTCCAAGTCACTCAGGACATGCTGGCTTTTTCTGTTTTTCTTTCTCCTCTTCCCACCCACTGGAATTTCTCTTCCTCCAAAGTAACCCTGGGTCTTGCCTTCATCACTCCCCATTCCTTTCCCCTTCCCCACCAAGAAACTGTGGATGGGAGTGTTGAGCAATCTGTCTCTGCCCTTTGTCCTTGAATATCCTGCAACTCCATGTGCCCCTTTGCTCTTGTCACCCATCTTATGTCTGACTTCTGCGGTTCACTTTTTTTTTTAATCCTGTGGCACACCTTCCCTTCCACATCATCACTATCTGGTGGAGGCAATAGCTGGAAGAACCACACCTGGTACATTTACTTTGCTGACTCACTCACGCACTGGGAAGTGGGACTGAAATTAGTGGATGAATTGGATCCAAAGTGGCTGTTAGAGGCAGGGCAGAATGCCTTTTCTCCCTGGCTTCCCTGCTTTGTCCAGATTTAAATGTTCCTTTGGTTACTTGGGAGAGAAGGTTTGACAGCTCATTTTGAGGCAATAAAGCCTGGTCTAAAATTAGGAGAGAGCATCCCTGTGGGACAGGACTGACAGGACTAGGATTTGCGCATGTGGCACAAACATGGGGAAATACTTCTTCCCAGTGATCTGGATTTCCAAGTGATTTTAAAGCAACAGGAAAAACTGCCATGAGAGAAGGAGTTTGCATGGGAGCTGATGAGTGGAAGCTGGATTTTGTTCCTGCAGTGACTTACAACATCTTGTTAAGCTCAGCTCAGGGCTCAAGGGGTGGGCTAAGGTGTGCCAGCGCTTTCCCTCTGGTGCTCAGTCCATGCCATGTTGTTCACTTCTGATGCTCCTCTGAGCTGTTCCTTTGCCCTGTTAGAGGGATAGGGCAGGAGGGTAGAGGAGCTGAAATTGAGACCAAGTATTAGCCCACAGTGCAACAAGCAGAATGAACATGCCAAAGGAAAGCAGTCACTGGGACTTGAAACATCAAATGTCATTGCTGTAAGGGTGCTTCCTTGATTTGGGCTCAGGCAGGGACAGGTTTTAAGTCCCTTTACGTATGTGGCTAACGGAAGTGGTATAAAAACCTACGCAAGGTGTTACAGAAGTGCCCAGAATTTCCGGCTGGAAAGAGGAGTCTGCCTCTGCTGTCTGAGACAGATCAAGTACTGGGAAACCAGAGATGCAGCTTGAGAAGCCAGGCCATTTCCCAGTAAGGTTGCTTGGCTCTAAGTACTGTGCCACGTTCATCGCTTTGCTGCTGACTGACCACATGATGTTGTTGCAAGGGTGAAGTTTTAAAGTAACTGAACCTGTCTCATTGTTTGCCACCACTGGAAAACGTGGTCCTGCTCCTGCTGCTCTTGCTTCTCTCGATTTTGTGGAGATGGGTGTCTCATCCCTCAGTGAAGGGATTCAGCGGGCTCTGTTTCCTGCCATGTTTGTCTGCTGCCAGTTCAGCTGCTGAGCTCCACCATGGGAAGCAAAAAAAGAGGGAATGTGGAGGCAGGAGGGTACAGTCCCAGTGTAACCTGACTGTGAGGTACAGTCCTCATTGTTTCAGATGTGTGGGCAGGAGGTGGGGACTCTCCAGCCCTCGAAGGCTTCTGCTCTTATCATCAGCACAAGATTATGGCCACTTCTTGCATGGGGTATCTTTTGCCTTCTCCTTGCTTGGTTAAAACTATGTTGCAGCTGCCTTGCTAAAGTCTATGACTCTTCCAGGGGTATCTGGAGGTAGCAATATTTGGAGAGGTCAGTTGCATGAAGATGGGAAGGAGAAGAATTAGAAATTCAGAAGAGTGTTCAGAACATCGTGAGACTTGTTCTAAAATTTACCAAGTCTTGCAGCCCTAGTGTGTTCCCTGCACGGTGCTGGAGGGGGGCTCATGCTGCCAGGCAGCCTCTCACTGGCAGCCTGTCTGAGGAGGCTGAAGGGAATGGGTTTGCTTCACACTGCAAAACAAGGGTTTTCCTTTTGCACAGTATACTCTAGAGACTGCCATCTGTTTAGAGAAATGTTGCTTTTCCCAAGCCCCTCCAGCTCTTCAAGCTGTTTGTGTTCACCTCAGAGATGTGTTTTGGAGCACTGACATGAAGCTAATGGTCCCTCTTGGGTCTGTTTGCATTGCAGGATCTGGGATTATGACTTCTTCACACCCCATCTCAGCCAGCACTCCTGAGGGAAGCAGCTATGGTGCTATTGGTACAGTACATTCCAGAACTGGGGGCATGGGGAAGGTTCTGCCTGGGGGAGGAGAAGGCACTCTTTTAAGGTGGTTTAAAGTCAGAAAGGAATAAAACTGCAAGCTACTTTGGGAGCATCTTGGAACTACTTGAAACAAAATAATTGCAGTTTGGGAAGTTTAGGTTGCACTTCAGGGAAAAGCATCTACATGATAAAGGTGGCAAATCCGTGACAGAGGTGCTCAGAGAGACTGTCATTGGAAACGTTTGTCTCAGCTAGACAAAGCCACAGTCACCTGAGAAGTGTTGGTGACAATGCTGCTTCAGACAGGACATTTACTAGGGACTGACAACGGTCCCTTCCAAGCAAGCTTCTAGAAGCCTGCTATTAGCTCATCAGGCCTGCCTTTAGACCAAAGCATGCCTTTCTCTGGAAGGCTGAACGGCTGCGTGCTGCAGTGCAAAACAGGATTGAAGCTTCTTGCACTCCAGAGGTTTCATTAGGGAAGAAATAATGTCATGCTGTCAGCAGGTAAACCATGCCCTGGCGGCAGAGGAGGAAGAAACTTCCCAAGGGTCCTGCTAATCTGAGATGATGGGAAATTAATTCCTTTGCCAGAGTATTTCTAAGTCTCCTCCTTACAGCAGTTTCCCCTCCTGTGAGGGTGTAGGCATTGAATAGCTCAGTGGGCTTTGGGACAGTCCTTGAATTTGACAGCTTGTGGACCCAGATTGCAGGGTGAGGCTTTGCAGATGCAGGGCAGTGTGAGGCAGCTGCTCAAATGAGAGTAGAGCAGCTCTGTGTAATTTTTGGTCCCTGTTCAGGATGCATTTGCTCACTGTTGTGTAATAACACCCCTGACTCTCCAAATACCATCCAGTTGTTGGACTGTGAAGATGTGGTATCTCTCAATGCCTGACAAAGAAACACGGAACTTTTTTTTCATGAGGTTTGGGAAAAATTCAGGAAGATTTAAGTCCTGCAGTAGAGTTGAGGGCTTCAGCACCACCCTACCCCCCCCGTTCCCCAATTACCAAGAAAATGCTTTAAAGGCATTTGGGAAATGAGGAAGAAACTCGTGTTCTGCCCGTGCCAGCATGGGCAAGGGGCTGGGAGCTTGGCCAGCCTGTGAGAAGTGCAGGCAGATCCTGCTGACCCACAGGTGACCGATACTGTGAATGCAATGGGAGCAAAGTTGGTGCTCTGCTTGCTTTGAAAAATCGACTTACTTCTTCTTTGGCTTTTGTTCTACAATATTTTTAGAAAAGCGTATATATATAAATCTTACATAAAATCTGAAGGTTGACTAGATCAGTGTGGTTTTGACCCCTAACAGTCTGCTGCTTTCACTAGAGCTTTTTGGCTTGTCTCAGAATTCCAGGTTTCAGAGCCCAGAGGGGGAGATAGTGGTCTTTGAAAGTGCTCTTAGATTATAATTTCATACTTTTAGGAAGGTTTGGGATCATGGAAAAACTTGTTCCTTGAAATGGCTGTATCAAATCGAGTGCAGCTGGTATCTGGGACAGCTTTATTCTTGCTGTGCATAGAGGGATTCAGCCTTTACCCTGCCTGTTTCCTTCTCCCCACTCTGGTCCAGATGAGTCAAGCTCCAGTGGTGGACGTCAGATGTCCTCCCCTGAGCACAGGCCACCAGCTGGTTCTGACACAGACAGTTCTGTGGAGGAGGAGAGTGACTTCGACACCATGCCAGAAATTGAAAGTGATAAGAACATCATCCGCACCAAGGTATGGCTGGTACTGCAGCTGTGGCCCTGGTGCTGGGCCATGGGCACATCCAGGCGAGGACCAGCAGTAGTCACTTACCAGGATTTTGAAGTTTCCTTTTCCCTGTTGGGTGGATTTAATCTCCTAAAGCTGAATGTGCTTCTTAGCGTTTTTTCAGTCACTGGAAGTTTTCCAGCTGTGCTAAGTGTTCTGCTGAAATGAGTGATTTAATATGGAAAATCAGAATGTATTGGGGACTATTGAGAAAGGAGGAAGAATCCCAGAGAGTGTCCCAGAAAGTCCAAGGAGGTGTGACAGATAGTGAGAAAATAAGCTGCAATAGTAGGTAGTTAATCTGGTACAAGTAGTGTGACTACAGTGGATGTACAGAGGGGCTTTAAGCTAGCAGCTCTCAAGCTGCCTCCTTTTGTCATCCTGCACTGTTTTGTGTGTCTGGAGCCATTCCTGGAGGTCAGAGGATTTTGCAGAATTCAACTCCATAGAATCAAGGGACACAACAATCTCACTGAATGAAAACAGTCCAAATAGCACCAAGCTGCAGGTTGTCTGAATACGTAAGGATCTTCTACTGGCTTCTGTAATCTTCACTGGTTTTCTTCTGTTTTCTTCCCTCTTTCCCCATCCACTGATGTTTTAGGTGTTCCTCTATCTATCAGACTTGTCTAGGAAGGACCGAAGGATTGTCAGCAAAAAGTACAAAATCTATTTCTGGTAAGGAGAAGGCAAACTGGTAAGACCCAAGCTCTGGAAACTGTCTCTAGTTGTGGAGTTTGTTCACCTGCCCTTCTTAACCACACTTTGGACGTGGGGATATTCTTTGAACCATCCTGTTACACTTTCTCACCCTGTTCCAACCAGTAACTGCAAATCTCACATACTTCAAATAATGATATTTGTGGACCAGTGCACACATGATCCTGGCAATGGATTTTGTTTTGCATCATTGCTTTTAAGCGTGGTAACAACTGGTGTGCTGGAACATAGTGGGGAAGGGGAGAAACTGGCACTCAAACACAGGAGCTTGTGGTCAACATCCTGGCTTTTCTTGTGCTCTTAGTATTTGCCTCGTTTGCACTAGCACATGTGCTCTTCAACTTCAGGAGACCATAATGAGATCATAACCTCAGAGAGCGGGATCTGTGCCCTTGGGCACTGAAGTGTACATGTTCCTCCACAAGCACCCTGGGCCTCTGTCCCAGGTGTGCACTTGTTTTGGTGTGTGTAACTGCTGCTGCTCTCTCCTCTCCACAGGAACATCATCACCATTGCAGTGTTTTATGCCCTGCCGGTCATCCAGCTTGTCATCACTTACCAGACGGTGCGTTTGACTCTGTGGCTGTCCCCTCTTGCCTTTAAATTTGCTCTGTGGTTGCGCTGTGTAAAGATGACAGTTGCAGTGAAACTGGGGTCACCCAGGAATTCTGCTCTGTCTGAGTGACAGTTTACCTTAGCTGCCCTCTCTGTACTGTGTGTTACTGCACGCTTGGCTTGCTCAGCTTGCAGTTCTGCTATTTCTGCTTGGGAAGTCGGAGTCCAGCTGTTTTCCTGCTCAACTGATGTCTCATTTGGGTCCTGTTTCATTTTAGAGACAGGAGGAATCTGCTGTAATCTGTAAAAGACAACTGTAAGCAAGTAGGGTTTGCTGTGATACAAGTGATTTCTCCTCCCTTCTCCCTACCCTTGCTATCCTACTGTTAATCAGATGTCTGCAAGAGAATCTATTAGTGGTGGGGTTGAGTTTGTGGCCTTTACCAACACCTTGTCCCACCCTAAAAGCTTCACTAGCAGATGTCAATACTCCCCTGTGCCAGTGCTAGAGCTAGGCTGTGTCCTGGTATACCTTGTGTACATGCAGTGTTTGCACGAAGCAAACCCCCAAGAGAAGGGAGTATTTGCTAATATTGGGTTTCTCACCTCCTCTCTGTCCAGGTAGTAAATGTGACTGGCAATCAGGACATCTGCTACTACAACTTTCTGTGTGCTCATCCCCTTGGGGTGCTGAGGTGAGTGAGCCCTATGGCCACTGCATTATTGTCTCATGCTTCTCAAGTGTTTGTGCTGTGCCCACGTCAGGATTTTATCCTTGTCAGGCTCACAGTAACTGTGTTGATAGGACCACTGGGAGTTTAGGACTCTGAGCTTTCTGTTTTTCTCAGCAGTGGCACTTTACTGCTGTGAGACACATGCACCCAGGAACATATGGCACCTGGGTGCCCCTACCAAATCTATGACACAGCAATGAGTTGCTCCCGTGCTCTATTGGATGCTCTCACTTGTATCCAAGGAGCAGTAGCTCTGCAAAGAAGTTCAAACCAGTCCTTTCAGTGCAGCATTTCTCTAAATTAATGTGAGAGTGCAAAGAAAGTCCAGAGTTGGACATGTCTCAGAGGAAGTGCTAAATTCACTGGGGTAAGTGAGCTACTCGACCTACAATTGACATCCAGAGAGTCAAACTGGCACTTTGGCAGCTGCTGAGGTGGAGGATGGTGGAGGGGGAGCAAAATGGGTTCAGCTTATCATGGCCCAGGATTCAGCTTTCTGCTGCTGTGCTGCCTTTGTCTTAAACCTTCTTCTTTCCTGCAGTGCCTTCAACAACATCCTCAGCAATGTGGGCCACATGATGCTGGGCTTTCTCTTCCTCCTCATTGTGTTGCGCAGGGACATTCTCCACCGTCGGGCCATGGAGATGAAAGATATCTATACCCTGGTAGGAAGCACGATTGCATGGGGCTGAGTGGAGGGAGGGAAGAGAGGATGAACTCAAAAAACAGAGTGATACGCAATGTGTTTCCATTTGCCTTCCTTGCTGGAGAATTGAATCCTCCTCTTTTTAGCTCCTGTGCAAAAGAGTATAGGTGAGATGCTTATGTTCTTACACACCCCAGTATTTTGCTGCATATGGTATGTCCACACTGCTGTGGTGATCCAGCCTGGGCTTACGAACACAAGGAGGTTAATAGAGGAACAACTCCCATGGCTGTGGCTTGTCCACTAGTGCTCACTGTGGAGGAACTGGGGCGGTAGGAGTGTCCCAAGATGCTTTAGTTGTAGTGAAGTAGTTGATTTGTCTTATACAATTAAGAGTTATTTCTTGGCACTCTTGTTAGCAAGAGGGGATAGAGATGCCTGTGATAACTCAGAGGAATTTGGCTGCCTCTACTCTGAAGCAGAGCTGCTTGTAGCCAGAGCTTCTGCAGACTCTTCTGAAAGAGGATGGAGAAACCTGCAGCCTTGTGGGCAGTGGTGCTGGTAGTTCTGGAGACAAACAGCTCTGTTTTCATTGTCTTGGTAGCAAGTAATGGCCTTAGCAGTTGTAAGGGTCTGCTGCTTGTGGTTTTCAGATGATACCTTGGCCAAATTGTGATGGAAGTGCCCTCTAATGGGCTCTGCTCCTCAGGTGCTTCTAACCCTACTGACCACAAGAACAATTCTGGGTCCCAAATCCTCTCTCAGTTTTGGGCAGGATGTAGTATGGCATGAGGTACAGGACAGAGATTTTCAGTCTCACGATGTTGGTACCAAGACACTGAAGTCTTCAGACCAGAAGTTTCAGCATGGTTAGCTTGAGTTTGCTGCCTGTGGATTCACTGGCTGTGCCATGTGGCTAAATGAGGAGCCTGTGGTTGTGCACAGCACACTGTGCTGCACTGCAGACTAAAGGACATGAGTAGGAGTTAGGAGGGATGAAGTGATGGAGAGTGGAAGCTCACCTGTCATCAGGAGAGTGAGGGTACTTACTCTGCAGATCTATTCTCTTCCAGGACTATGGGATCCCAAAGCATTTTGGTCTCTTTTATGCTATGGGCATCGCTCTGATGATGGAAGGGGTGCTCAGTGCCTGTTATCACGTCTGCCCTAATTACTCCAATTTCCAGTTTGGTAAGCTGAGTTTCCTTTCTCCTTTTGAGCTGGAGCTAGGAATTGCCACGCTTTCTCTCCTGCTGAGTTACTGATTTTTCCCATCCCTCTACCCTTGCAAAACCTCCCTGGAGACTGCCTGTTTCAAAGCTCAGTCAGGAGGCAGTGAGGCTTTTGATTCTGGGGACTAACACGTCAGCCTCCTCTCCAGTCCTTAGGACTCTGGTAGTGCAGTGCTGGCAGGATCTCACATTGGTTTTGCAGCTCAGTGCTTGAAGGTAATAAGTGCACAGCCTGAGGAGCAGAGTGTTCAAGCCTACGAAGCCTCTGTGACATCTCAGTGGAAATTTTGCTCTGTGGGCTCCTTCCTGGGGAAGAGAAGACTCAGGCAGAATCTTGTCTATGAGTGTGAATACCTGATGAGAGGGAACAAAAATGAATGAGCCAGGCTCTTTTCCCTTTGAGGGTAGTCACAGACTGAACAGGTTGCCTGGAGAGGTTGGGAATTCTTCTGTGGAGATATTTGAAGCCTGTCTGGACATGGTCCTTGACAACCCTCTCATAGCTGACTTTGCTTGAGCGGGGGTTGTTGGACCAGATGACCTCCAGAGGTTACTTCCAGCCTGCACCATTCTGTGATTGCCTGCCTGTTTCTGTGCTGCACTGTGGGCACCTATTTTCTGATCCCCTTTAGTTTTTGTTGCCCCAGAGCATGGTACATGTGCTGCAAGATGGCAGAGCATGAAGTGCTGTACAGTGTAGTGCAGCATCAGGGATTTGTGCCTGCCAGCCTTGGGATTGGCCCTGCTGCTGCACTACTTTGTGTGCACTCAGAGGAGCTTTCTCAGCCCACTGGCTGTACCTGTTTTCACTGTTTGTTGTGATCCCTCCACAGACACCTCCTTCATGTACATGATCGCAGGACTGTGCATGCTCAAGCTCTACCAGACCCGCCACCCAGACATCAATGCCAGTGCCTACTCTGCCTATGCCTCGTTTGCTGTGGTGATCTGTCTGGCTGTCCTTGGAGTGGTATGGCTCCCTCTTACCTGCTTCTCTGGGAAGGAGATGGTGTGGCTGGGAACATAGCTTAAGTGGGGAAAGCAGCAGAGTAGGATAAGAGTGTGTTAAGCAGCTGTTGGCATTTGAATTCTCAGTTCTCTTGGGTTTTCCTCCTCTCTTCCCCTGGGCTTTCAGGAGGGGGAAGAGCAGAGCAGTTTCCTCTAGGTGGCATCTTTTTTGGACTTTTGCTACCACATAGCATCCTTCTCAAGAGAAGAACTTCACACATCCAGGTGTCCATGTCCCAGCATGCAGATGGTCTTCCTGTGAGGTGACTTACATTGTTGGGGACCGGGGTGAGACTGGATGAGCTTCCAGGACAAGTATCTGATACCTAACTGCCTGTGCCTATTTCTCCCCTTGGGAAAACTCCTTATTGTTGGGCAAGGCTCCTGCAGTTGGCCTTGCAATCTTTGGAGAGATGGGGGACTAGGATAATGTCTGAGGAGCTCCCAGGTAAATGTGTGGAGTACCTGCCTATGGAAGGGCACTGTAGCAAAAAGAATCAACCAGAGTTGCTGGACTGCTTTGCCCGTTAGCTCACAGCATTGCAAATATTGAGCTGGGCTCACCTGAGTCCCCATCCTGTCCTTTACTTTGGAGGTCTCTGCTTCCCTTCTTTTAAAGGACTCGTTTTTGTTCATCAGTAACCAGGCAAAATCCATTGAATTCTTGCTCTGAACTAGCAGCTAAGTCCCACTGGGCTGTCAGCCCCTCACTACCACACATAATGTGGAATACCAATTGATACTGCAAAGGTCTCTGAGTAAGAGACTCTGGGATAAGGCATGCAGGAGCAGCTGGTGAACTTGGGACTTCCCAAAAATCTCTTGATAAGTGTGGTAGATCTTGACAGCCAGGTTCAAAACACTGGGGCTTTATTATGGATTGCTGTATCTTTTCTTGAGGGGTGCTTTGAAGCTGTTCAGTGGAGCATATAAGCTACATCTCCCTTGTTTGGTTCATGTAGAGGTGGCTTTTCTGCTTGATTTTTGGTGGTGTCAGGGCTTTTTTTGTTTTTTTGTTTTTTTTCCCCACACATGTAAAGGGGAAAGTTCATGCAAGTGCTTTGCCCCAGGGAAGGGGAGTGCTCACAGCCAGATAGATCAGAGTTTCTGGACTCCTTAATGTATAACTGAAAGATTAAGGTTTTAATATAGCTTTAATGTGCACTTGTAGGTCCCTTCCAGTCCTTAAATAAAATGAAAATATACAGTAGGAGCAGTTGCCTGCAGAGCGGTTTTCTCCTTTTTGTTCTACAGTACACTTATTAAAGTAATAGTTGGTTCCCTTACTGCCTTTGTGAAAATACAGCTCCTGGCCAGAGAGCTGCTGCCCAGCTCAGCAGAGAGAGCTCACCTGGCCTGGGTGTCCCTGCGTTTCTGCTCCCTGGGCCAGTTGCAGCCCTTCCAAGCTGCTGCTCTTATCTGAAGGAACATTCAGACAGAATGGTCTCCTCTCCAGAATGCTGAGCTCCTCTTGCCTCTCTGGACTTTGTTTTGAACTCATAGATATATTTTCAAGTGGGAAGATTTATGGGATTCTTTTCTGTAATCAGTGAGGTTATCTAATGACCCATGGTGATATAGGATGGGAAAGGATTGTCCTGCTGCACAGGGCTCAGTTTGCTTTTAACGTGTCTTTGCTTTCAGGTATTTGGGAAAAATGACATGTGGTTTTGGGTTGTTTTCTCAATAATCCATGTTTTGGCCTCGTTGGCTCTCAGCACCCAGATCTACTATGTGGGCCGCTTCAAGATGGGTAAGTGCTGTGACTGATCCATCTCCTCCTGGGTGTGCAGGTGCCTCCTGTCGTCACCTGCGTGTCACCTGTGCAACGTGTCTGTCAGCACAGTCCTGTGGCCTGTGTTCTAGGTTACCCTGTCCTCTCATCCATCCGATGCCCTTCCTGGCCTCTAAAATCCTTGTGCTAGTGCTTCCCAGACCGGTGGGTCTGTGGAGGCAGGAGAGCTGGGCTTTGAGGGAGCCTGTCCTTCAGCTGTAGCTCTCCCTAGTGCACACTCCCTAGTGCTGTGCTCAGAGCAGAGAGCTACACTCGGTCATAGGGTGAGGGGGAGAGGGTCTGGTGGGGAAACTGTGTCTTGTGCTCTGCTTACAAACATATTTCTCCTTCTTCTTCTGCTTCTGTTTGCCTCAGATGGCCCTGACTCAGGTAACTGTCTGCAGCTCTCCTTTATCTCTGCTGAGTTGTGCAGCGGTGTGGCAGCCAGGGGTTGCGTGGATGTGTGTGGGGAGGCAGGCTCGGGTGCCAGCTGGGGTCAGCTCTCCAGAAGTGAAACCATTTTGCCAGCAGCACTGCCAGTCCTGCTCCTTGGCAGGAAAGGGGTGATACAGCACAGGAGAGCTCTGATCTTGGCACAGGAGCGTTTTCAAGCTCTGCATTTATAGCTAAAGAAGGGCATGTGTGTGCATGTATGTCCATCCATCCCCACTGCCACTGATGGCTCTGCAGGGAAGCTTCTGCAATGATTTTGAGAGCTGGAGTGTCTTGAGTGCACTGTGTCCCTTTAGGAGCCTCTGAGGGCTGTGGGATCTGTTTCTGCTGTTATCCTGCTCTGGCAGCTTGTTCCATGGAAGGTGTTTTTCCTGTTCCTGCACACACACCTCTCTTTTCCAGTGATGGGGTTGCAAAGTCAGCCTGTTTACGTGTACAGACAGGGCCTGTTTGAATTCTGGGTAGTGCTAGCTTTGAGAGGATTTTTGTTTTGATTTTTTTTAACCTGTTGTTCTGCCAAATGCCATCCACATCCTGTGGTGGCTGTTCTGCTCAGCACAGACTGCTCCCAAAGGGCAAGAAATGCATCTGCTGACACCTTGGATTCTCTGTCAGCTGGTGGGTGTCTGTGTCTTTCCCCATTTTGGGGCTCACTCTGCTGGCTGTTCTGGCTTTTTATCCTCTTCTTTGACAGACCTGGGCATATTTCGACGAGCAGTGATGGTGCTATACACAGACTGTATCCAGCAGTGCAGTCGACCAATGTACATGGTAGGTGACTTCTTATCTAAGCAATTGCTCACCCTTCAGGCAATGTGCAGAGGAAAGAGTCTGGTCTATTTGAAAAAGTGATGGTCCCTGCTTCCCTTCTTCTCCCTCCCCCAGAATGGTTGGGGTAAGTGTAGATCTCTGCTACAGTGGTTTACCCCCAACCTCCAGACTTCCCCGATCTCAAACTTGGTGAATAAAACATCAAAGCAAAGGTGATACAAGCATGACAGGATTTGCCTTTGCACCTGCTTTCTGGGGCATCTGTTCAGAGGAATGGCTCTGTGCAGTGCAGCCTCTCTGGGGAAGGCAGCAACTGTTTTGGCTCTGTGGTTTAAGCAAAAGCAATTGCCATTTCTGCAACACCTTGGGGCAGACAGCAGAAAAGTAAGAAATGGTGGCTGTTACCTTGTGTCCCACTGATGGCTTCCTTCTTGGTGCAGAGTGCTAATTAAGGATTGAAGCCAAATGGGGTTTTTATCCATGAGCATCTTTTTTCTTTCTTTCTTTTTTATTTGTTCTCCCACCTCTGAATAAACAAAGTCCACTCAGGCAGGAAGTAAGCCTGGCCAGCCTGAAATAGCTACATCATGAAAGCAGCTGTAAGCATAAATGCACATGTCCCACAAATGTAAACCTCTGCCTTCTGTAGTTACAGGGCTTCCCTAGCTAATGGTGAGATAGGAGAAAAAAAGTGTCTCTAAATACATGTGGGATGCTATCCAAAGCTTCCCCTGCTGCGTCTTTCAAGCAAGTCCTTGCTCTCTGCAGTACTTTTTCTATAAAACGGTGGGAGGGAAGGAATCTAACTAGAAAAACAGTAGAAGTAGTCAAAGGATTTGCAGAACCTCCTGAGGCTGATCCCTTAAGTGCTGAGATTGTTCTTTTTTTGATGTTCAGTCTCCTTCTTGCAACTCTTTCTTAAAATTTATGAGAGTCAGAGCAGTTTCCATCTGATAAAGCTCCCACAGAGCAAACTACAGAACCAGGTGCACGTGTGTTTGCAGGAACCAGACTCCAAATCCTCACATAATGACATCCTGAATTTCTGAGGCAATGGCCTCTTTTTGCATACCCTTCTGATTTTATATGATCATCAGTGCCTTTCCTCCAGGACAGGATGGTGCTGCTCATTGTTGGAAACCTGGTCAACTGGTCCTTGTAAGTAGTTACATCTTGGTGTCCTGTGTATTTGTGCACGTGGGCAGCAGGATTCAGTACTGGAACACAGGGGGCCTGAAGTGATGAGAAAATGCAGCAATGTCTGTGCAATAATCCTGTGCTGGGGCCCTTCTGACATGTTTTGGCGGGGAGCTTGATCTGAGGAGTGCTGACAGTAGGCAGATCCGTAGGATGCAGCGCAGCACTACAGAACAGTGTGAGGCATCCCTAAGTGTTTCAGCTGGGGCTGTCTCATGGCTCGTCTCTAAGCAAGCTTGTGTAGGGCTGGCTTGGTACTGTGGTGCTGTGCTGTGCTGTACACCTGCTTCCCACGTAGCTGGGAAGTCTCTGGCACAGCCAGGGTGCAGGAGACCTGACAGACACTCGTTAGTCACAGAGCCTGGCTGAGCAAGGAGGTATTAGCTCTTAGATGAGACCTAAAATCATTGCCCCAGGCTCTTGCTTTTCACTAAAGCTGCTTAGGGACATGCTTTCTGCCAAATGTACAGGTCTGGGGCCAGCTCCTACCCAGTGAGATGTGTTTGGAAGCAACCCAGGGCCCTTTACTGTCCTCTGTGGTCTCAGTTGCTTCAGCAGCTGACCATGGCTGAGTTTCCCTGGCTGGGGGCAGTGTTGCTGTGTCTGTGGGGCAGTGGGTGGCTGTACCTTGGCAGTTTGGGAATGTACCTTGTCCCCAGTGAAAGAGGCTGTCTGATATCCCTTCTTCTCTCTCTCAGTGCTATCTTTGGGCTCGTGTATCGGCCCAGAGACTTTGCCTCCTACATACTGGGTATCTTCATCTGTAACCTGCTGCTGTATCTGGCTTTCTACATCATCATGAAGGTAGAGGGAGGCAGCTGTAGCTGTCCCTGGGGTGCTTATCTCCAAAGGGGAAGGGATGGGCCTCTTTTCTGGATGCAGCTGGGGTTCTTGTGGTGCTGCAGAGGGATGTGGAGGGGCTGTTGTGGGGCTCAGGGTGGAACAAGGTGTTGGGGGGGGATGGTGTGTAGCCATTTCAGGGGGGGCTGGGTTGGGCAGCCCTTCCCAGGTGCAGATGGTGTGTCAGCCCTGTGTATAGCTCTGTCCCTTGTGAAGAACTCAGGGTGTGTTGTGAGGCTGTGTCCCTGTCTGCAGCTCCGCAGCTCTGAGAAGCTCCTGCCCATCCCCATGTTCTGCATTGTGGCCACAGCAGTGGTGTGGGCAGCTGCCCTCTACTTCTTCTTCCAGACCCTCAGCAGCTGGGAGGTAAAGTTCCCCTTTCACTGTCCTTCTGTCCATCTCTGTCTCATCCTCTCTCCTTTCTGTTGTTTGTTTTGCACAAAACATACTTTGGAGAAGAGTCTTGGCCTGCTCATGGAGAGCTGCTTATTTTCAGCAGACTGTGAAGGGAATGTGGGAAGCTGTACTGAGCCAAAAATGACTGTATGCATGTATCTGTGTAGAGGCTATTTATGACCCAGGTATCTGGAGGTGACTGGTCCTCACCAGGGGACAGAGGACGAGCTGGGGATCTGAAAGCAAAACTGGGCAAATCGTGACTAGTACTGGATGGAAGACTTATCCCTGGAGCAGATGGCCAATGGGGGGGTAACTTGCCTGGGATTGTGAGGGCTCTCCATGACCTGGGAGACTGAATGTCTTCTAATGGGATATCACATCCATCTCCATGGAGGTGAGGGGCTTGCTGCAGAGTGGTCTGGTAGAGGCTGTGCAGCTTGTGCTATGCAGGACCTCAGATGTGGAGAGCAGAGGGTTCTCCCCAGCTGTGGGTTATGGCCCCAGATCCATTTTCAGGTCTACCACTGCATTCCTGGCCTGCCCTCGCCCCATGTCTGGCCAGCATAGCACCTTTTCCTGGGTTCTGCTTGGAGGGTTAAGATGGCTTGATCTTTAGAGGGTCCAGTGTGATCAGTAAGAGCCCTGTATTAGTGGGTATCAGGTGCTGACCCTCTGCCTGCTCCCCTAGGAGACTCCAGCAGAGTCCCGGGAAAAGAACCGGCCATGCATCCTGCTGGGTTTCTTTGATGACCATGATGTCTGGCACTTCCTCTCTGCAGCTGCCTTGTTCTTCTCCTTTCTGGTGAGTCTTGCTGAGTCTCCCACTCTGCTGTATGGCCTCACCCTCTCCTCTTCCACCTTGCCCCTCTCCATCCACATGGACCTGTGACTGCTCCAGGACCCCACAGAGGTGCCCAAACTCCTCTTCTTGGCTCTATCTCCAGACATCCTTTACAGTGGGATGCTCTTTATCAGAGGGATCAGGTTTTCTCCTTTGCCTTATTTATCTCCCTATGCCTCTTGGCCTCAAATTCCCTTTGGGGCTGTGGGTCACACAGTTGTTGTGGGACAGCTGAGGGGCTGCTACTGTGACCAGTGACTCATGGATTTGGGAAGACCTCCCAGGAAATCAAGACCTGAAGGTCTGAAAGGTAGACTTGCCTGGCCAGCAAGACCTGAATCTGCCTTGTACTTTCTTCCTCAGGTCCTGCTGACCCTGGATGATGACCTGGATACGGTGCGCAGGGACAAGATCCCGGTGTTCTGAGTCCCCAGGGGACAGGGGTGCAGGGGCGTCCCAAACTGCTCAGCCAAAGGCACTGGGCCACTGGTATCTGTGGGGAATGAGCCTGCTTCCGTGGCCAACAACACAGTAGGAGCAGGGGAGCTGGATCCCACAGAAAGCATGAAGGGGTGCTGTGGTAACTGAGGCAGGACCAGAAGGGAAGACGACGTTTACTCCTTTCCCACCGCATCCTCTGGGGCAGGCATGACCCAGCAGCCAAGGCCAGTGCACAGCCCTCTGGCTCACAGGTGCAGTGGGTGCTGGAGCCAGTGAGGGGGGAGGAAACAGGAGGGAGGTGTGTTTGAGACCTTTGCTTCCCTTCCTTCCTGCTGATGTGCTCCGCTTCCTCTCTGGTGAGCAGGCTTGAGAAGTGCTGCTCCTCCTGCACTGGGAGCTGATGCCTGTACCCTGCAGGCTGCTGCCCTCAGAGAGTCCTTTCAGCTGCACAGGGAGAGCATTTGGTTCCTGTCCTGCAGCCACCAAGGGAGCAAAGGACTCCAAACTGAGGTGGCAGTGGGGAGACAGTTTTCTTCTTTTCTTCATTTTGTTGGAGAGACTCCTCTGGTAGCTGGTGGGGAGCCATGGTAACAAGACTGTGGTGTTGGAGGGAGATGGTGGACTTAGAGCTGCCCATGCGTGCTCTGCCAGAGCCTCCCGCCTTGCTCCTGAAGGCTCTCACTCACTCCTGTTGAACAGCCACACTTCCTCTGGCAGCTCCGGTGCTGGCTCTTGTCAGCGTGATGGTCTCTCAGGGCACTAGAAGTGCTGTCCTCAAGCAAACCTAAAAGAGATGGCGCAGCAAAGCCACAACCTTGCATGCTGGGCAGCTCTTTGGCAGCCCCTTGGCTCCTGCTGCCTGCCTTGCCAAAGGGGCAAGGTGGAAGAGGCATGTCGTCCAGCAACCTCAGACTTTCCCCTTCAATGAGTCTGTTTTGGACAAACTTGGCAAAGCAGGTTCCCTTATGGACCGGGAGTGTGGAAGAGGTTTGGGGACAGTTGGGGTTGAGCTCTTTAGCTAAAGATCTGGGCCAAACTTTCTTGTCAAACTTTGCTGCATCTGAAATAAGTTTTTAAATGGCTTCTGCGTTGTTTCTAATTTCTTGGTTGTTTAAAAAACAAGAATGAGGTGTGAATTATTTCAGACCTTGCATCTAAATATGGGACCTGTTTTGCTAATTTTGAATTAAAAAGTGTTCTTTCAGGCCTGCTGTCCTTATTCTTGCCATTGTCTGAGCATTTTTGCTTCAGTGTATGTGCATGTACCCAGTGATGGGAAGGTTTCATTCCACTTCTGCTTACTAAAGCAAACAACTATGGTAATGTTTTACTCTGAGAGTCTGTATCTCCTTGAAAAGTTTTGCACCAGCTGATTTTTATTTTTTTCTAAGTTGGGGATTGTCAAGACTGTCAATAAAATGAATGTTCCTGGTTCCCTGCTCTGCAGGTTGATGTGAATTCTTCTTACTCCAGCTCTCAGCAGGAGCAAGGAGAGCAGCTGGGGCAGAGGGGTGCCCAGTGGTGTCACACAGCTGCTGTCATCCTTGGGACTGTCACAGACGTTTCCTGAGCATAGGTGCAGATGACCTGCTTGTTCTCTTACAATTGCCTTTGTGAGACTAAATAGAGTGAAGAACAGACACTCTTGTCAGTGTAGTCCTTTTGGCAGGGTGGGAGAGGGCTGGAGGAGGAATGACACAAGCGGCTGCTACCTGTTACCTTCCCAAGCAGAGCTGTTGCCGCTCTGGAGGTGTTTCAGGCAGGGTGTGCCAGAAATGAAGAAGGTGGAGGTGGTCCTGGTGTGCTGTGTTGTATGACAGTGCTTTGGGCGTGACTCACAGGTTTGCCATGCAGATGGAGTTGTGAATGTTTCATCTTGGAAACGGGTAGGTTTCTCAGGCTTGTTGCAAAGCATGAGCTTCTCTTGCTTAACAGTATCAGCAGAGGCTGCAGGGAAGGGGACGACACTTGTTTTTGTCTGAGTAGCATCAGCAGAGAAGTATCAAGCTGAGCATAGTTCACATTTTCCATTCAGCCACCCTGCAGCCCTGCCATATGTTCTTGGTGCATCTTAAATGTCTGAATCCAATATTAGCTACTTGGGCTTGCCTGCAGCTTCCTTTTTCTTCCCATAAGGAAGGACTGCCAAGAAGTCTGGGGTGCAAAAGAACCACAAAACAAACAAAACCCAAACAACCCAAATCCTTACTGCTGAGTGCAGCAAGACTGAGCTGCCCCCATGGGGGGACTCTGTGTGGGACTGTGGTGCTCTGACAGCATGGTTAGAAACATGCTGGGCAGATGGAACCACCGGGGCTTCTGTATCCAGGAATGTTTGACCTGACAGTGTTTTTATAACATGTGCTCTGTGCTGCCCTCCTTGCAAATGCAAGGGCCGCTATAGGAGCCCCCAGTGCTGTGCCAGACTGAAGAAGGGCTTGTGTGCCCCCAAATTTGTACAGTGTTGGACACACATTTAAATAATAAAATATATTATTTCTCCCTGTGTCTTTCATAATCTGTAGTCTCAGACCTTGCTCCAAGCTCATATTTGTTTCTAGCCAGGAAGCTGGTTATCTTCAAATTGGAATGTGAGAAAAAATTAACATTGGACAGCAGTTGGAAGGCTCAGTGTAGGAGGTAGAACAACATATGGGCTCGCTGAGCTAAGCAGAGATGGAACACAGTATATGAAGGGTAAGGCAGTAACAGTGAGGGAGAGAGAGGTTGGAGAAGGCTGGAGAACAGCACAGAACTAGCAAGAAAACCCTGAAAGAAATTAAATACAAGGAAAGGCACCTCAAGCCTGAGAGATGGGAGGAAAGGTTAGAATCGTCTCCCTGCTGCTTCTGTGCTTCCAGCATGATGCATCACTTTTTAAAACTTCCTCTTAGCTTTGCCCTGCCTGCTGGTTTCTGTTTGTACTTCAGTTCTCCCACCTAGTGGCTGCAGAGCCCAGCCTCACCCGACTGCTCCAGGGATCCCTCCGGCTGCTGGCGGGTCTGGCTGGGCACCCGGGCAGCTCTGTGCCTCCCAGCTGTCCTGGTCACACTTGCCTGTGTAGCCCTTGGACCTGGAATGCAGCTTGAGTCCTGCTGTCCTTGTCCAGGCCATTGCCCTTGGGAAAGGAAGAAGAGCTTGCTGGATAGGTGGGGGACCCTCATTCCATGATTTGCAGGTCATTGTTTTCTCACCTTTCTCTGCTCACTAAGGAGAAGAGGTGTAAAGGGAGAAAAGCAGAGCAGCATCTTGGAATTGTGTTAGGAGGTAGGGGGGCCTTTCTGCTGCCTGCAGGCCGGTAGTGGGGTCCCTGCTTCCCCCATCACATGCTCAGCATAAACTGCTGTCACAACTCCTGAAGGGAAACAAATGGTTCACTTTTCTGGTAAATCCCCTCCTCAGCTTATGGTAGGGGCTGTGAGGAGCTTGAAGGAAGCAGGAGCTGGTCTGGCTGGAAGTGGCTGCCAGAGTACTTCTCTATACATTATGGAAGCTGTACCAGCCCAGGAACACCTGCCCTAAGCTTTCTGCGGTTGGTTATTCAATACTCAGGCTTATTTGCCAAATCATGAGCTTTGTTTGCTGTTTTTGCAAGAAAAAGAGCTGCTCTGTATCATCTGTGTTACACCTTCTGCAACACCTTCCCCAGGCCTCTAAACATTTTCCCAAGTAAAAGCCAGTGCAGTGCTGCAGATGGGTCAGATGATTTTGGGTGGTGCATGGCCAGAAAGTTGCTGCTGAGCAGCTTCTGCTTTACCTCCCCTGTAGCAATGTGACCTGTCTCTTGCCTCTGCCTTGCTCTTCTCTTTTCACAGCTCCTGGGCACCTGAAGGGTGTCTCCCCCTTCCCACACCTCTGTTGCCTTAAGCCACAAAGAGGAGGTGGATAGAACGTTATCACTGAATCATGGAATGGTTTGGGTTGGAAAGGACCTTTAAAGGTCATTTCGTTCCAACACTCCTGCCCTGGGCAGGGACACCTCCCACTGGACCAGGTTGCTCAAAGCTGGGTTACATCTACCCTGCCCTTGAATGTTTCCAGGGACAGGGCATCTGCCACCTGTTCCAGTTTTTTACTGCTCTCATTGTAAAAAACTTATATTAAAAACCCTTATATTCCATATATTCCTTGTTTTCTTGGGAAATGTAGATAAAGTTGTTGTTCTACCCAGTACAACTCAAGGGAGAAAGAAATAGCTTCTTTCTCCATAACACTAATATCCACTCAGAGGTTAGGAAAACTAGTGGGGTCAGGTGAGCTGACAGTCTTACAATTACCACTCAAACCTCTGGGCTGGCTGAAGAGCAGCCAAGGCAGGGGGAGTACTCTGCATTGTGAAAGGGGAAGGCACAGTTTTAGGAGAAAGGTGAACTTGTCCACAAGTAGATTTTGAGCCTATTAAATCAGCAGCACCTGTGTAGATGCTGGGGCAGGGAGAGTGGAGGGGCAGTTATCAATGACAACAAGAGGGGGATACTGGGTTTATCCAGGACACTTGCAGGGTCTGTTTGAGACTGAGGTATGCAGGCCCTGGCTATGCTCCACCTCTGGCTTAAGATGAGAGAAGAAACACTGAGCCAGTTTCACTTGTGCTTTTATCTGTGGTTTTCCTTATGTGCAGGTGGCCACACCAAGCGCTTGTATGAGCCCGTCAGGCCCAGGGACGCCCTGGCAGCTCTCAGGGCCAAGGAATGCCAGAGGGTGGCCAAGCAGGACCTCCTTGCCCCAGGGGCATTGCTGGGGCCTCGTGGAGCCCTGCTGCATCTCCCACAAGCAGAAGCACCTGCATCTGTGGCAGCTAGCCAGCAGTGAGGGCACCCACCAGCCCATCCTTGGAGGTATTCACCTGCCTTGTATCCTGTTTCCCCTCCCCTCTGCTCTGAATGAACTACACATACTGGCTGTCACTGAAGTAGCAAAATAGAAGGTCCTCTGTTTTAATACTAAACTTTAATTAAAAAAAACCACTAAGGCCTTTTGTACAGGCATCTTCCGTGTCTGTGAGAATTTTGATCTTTACAAGCAATTTTTTCTGGAGCCCCTGAAGACAATTGTTTCATAGTATTTCTGTCAACTTCTGTTGCAGCCTCCCAAAAACACCTTTACTTTACCTTGCAACATCTCTGTACTGCTCTCATACAAACCACATCCTTTAGCTTCAAACTGTGACAAAAGTACTGTCTTAGAGCACTTCAAAACCAGTGCAGCAGGCTGTGATGAGAAGCATTATATAAAGCCAAAGTTGTATCTCAACTCAGTAAGCACTGTCACCTGGGCAAGGACAGCACCTGCCATGCACTATTTTGATACTTCATTATCAGTATGTTTCTTCTGAATTGTGTAGTTTTATATCTCCAAATAATGCAGTGCATAACTCTGGTCTATGCAGAGAATATACATCACTGGAAAACTGTATACTGTAAATTCCCAAAACTTTTATTTTTGCCTCTCTTGAAGAGTGAATGGCATGACTTTCCATGTGGAAAGAAGCTGTATCAACAAGAACACAGTATCCAAAGAGTGTTTTTCTCTTTTTTTTAATAAAATACTATTATGTTCATATCTATACAAATAATTATTACAACTATTAAACAAAGTATTACATTTAACAATAGAAATCTCAGAACTCTGAACAAGATCATGGTTTGGGATATTTACACCTGAATGTAACACATTTGTAAAAAGATGTCAAAATAAACAGAGCAAGATCTTATTTACAATTGGAAGATGATGTTCCTGTTCATTCATTATAGATTTCTACTGCAGAGTTCCTTTTTTCCATTACAAAATAGTAAGGACTTTCCACTGGGACTGTATCCAAGTCATTTACAGCTGTATAAAACAGAAGCACAGCAGAAAACTCTGGACTGAATATAAATAATTTACACTGTGGAGGGCAACAGCATCTTTGATTAATCTCCTGTGGCAAAATCCGTATTTGCTTCCCTTCTCACAGTGAGCAGGCAGGAACAGGGCCCAACCCACCATGAGCTCCACTGTTTCACACTTGTGATTGCTGGAACAGCAGCACATATTGCAAACTTGGAAACCTGCTTGTAAAGATAATTTTGGTGTGGCAGAAAGAAATGCCTTTTTTTAAAATTTATCTCATAAAAACTGGTATCAGTATGTAATAAATGGCTTTTGTGTAACTAAGCAGAGTTTGTTCGCAGAGAGAATATGAATTTGTATTGTCATGACCAAAAAACTCCACTGCATCTTTCACCAGTTCATAGAGTAACTTGCTCTCAGTGTAACTAGTGGCAATAAAGTGTTGGTGCTCTGAGGTTTTAGATTTACTTGGTATTGCAGAGGCAGTAGAAGTTGAAAACACCCTCACATGCAAACCTGTCTCTGCACTGGCACTCTTGTCCATGAGACTGCTACCCATGCTGGATCATGGCAGTGGGAGAAAGGACCAGTGGTGGACGATAACAAGCCAGGTGATGATAAAGAGTGGAGCTCCTTATAGCACTGTATCAGAAAACAACCCAAATTTGACTGATTTGTTATAAATAGACTCAATGCTATTCTGTCTTGCCAGTTAAAGTGGGATCATTATTAAAGTGATGAGCATGAAACTTATTAGGGGAATGGCAAAAGCTCTTAGCACAGCTGACTACACTCAGTCATCCAGAAA